AGGTGTAGTTTCTGTGGTCCAGGTGTAGTTTTATATGGTCCAGGTGTAGTTTCTATGGTCCAGGTGTGGTTTCTGTAGTCCAGGTGTAGTTTTATATGGTCCAGGTGTAGTTTCTATGGTCCAGATGTAGTCTCTGTAGTCCAGATGTAGTTTCTGTAGTCCAGGTGTTGTTTCTGTAGTCCAGGTGTTGTTTCTGTAGTCCAGGTGTTGTTTCTATGGTCCAGGTAAACTTTCTATGATCTGTGTGTAGTTTAAAGTTCAGTTGAAGTTTCAATTCCAAATGTAGTTTCTATGGTCCTGGTGTGGTTTCTATGGTTCAGACCCGGTTTCCATGGTACTCGTTTAGTTTCTCTGTCTTTGCCATTATTCTTAGTGGTGCTCCAGCTGAACCTGTCTCAGATGGACCCGTCGAGTTCCAGTTTTGTTGGCGCAGCGTAGGGATTGCATGATTTAAATAATTTATGCATTTCAAACCAACTTCTTCTCTCATTCTGTCTTCATTATCGTTGAAATGGTTGCATTTTTTTTTTCCTGTATGAACCTTTAAAATCTACCAGCTCTGTGTTTTATCAGTTGGAAATGCAGCTTGTTGAGCTCACAGCAGAGCTGAAGGACTGTGAGATTCCTAGACGTGTGTCGGGAAGTCCAAGCCCTGTTCTCCAGTCTGTGTGTGTGTGTGTGTTTTGTTTTTCCAGAGTGTAATTGTAACCCCGTTGGCTCAGTCAGTGATCGCTGTAATGGCACAGGATATTGTATATGTAAGGAGGGCACTACGGGGCCCAAGTGTCAGGAGTGTCTACCCGGCTATTTGTGGGACAATGGCTGCAAATGTAAGTAGAACCGCAAACCCTCCTGAACGCAGCTCCTGACTGTACCCCCCCCTCCCTTTCCACACACACAGCTCTGTCTCCTGCCAACTCTCTCTGGTGTTTGTTTTCTCTGTGACTTCCAAGCTTTGGCTGGAGGAATGTGCTGCGCTGCCGCACAAACCGCACACACAGTGACAGCCATCCAGTCCACCGTCTCTCTGTGCCGTCGTTTTCATTCCCTGAACCTGCATCTCTCACATGCTGCGGCTGCAGCGTAAGGTCAGCCAGGTGCCCATCATGGCTCAAACAGCAAAAACAACAAAGGAAATGACAGGATGCATGCCGCTTGATGACTCAGTCACCCGCGCGTGTCGCACACCATCAACACAACAGCTGAGTCAATATTGACCGCCTGACAAGCTGCCTGTGATCCTCATGCCAGCAGGATAGTGACGTCCATTTTTTTTTATTTTTAAGAAGAATGCAAGTTATTTTCAGGTCCAAGCCATTTTTTTTATGTTTTTGTTTCCCTCACAAATAATGCTCCATGTTGTCTTTTGTTTTCCTCCATTTGTCACCCATTTGTCATTGTTTGCTTCAAGTCGAGCTTCAGTTACAAACCTGCAGTCAGACAGAAGGGAGCTTCAGGGAGCTGGATTTTAACTTTCTGACAAAGAGGTTTAAATATATAAAAAGAGATGCTGCCGGCACAAATTACTAAGCTTCTCTGGATGTGACACATGACACGAGTTTCAGATTAACTTCCAGCGGAGGTCTGTTTTAGCTCCTTTGGATGGAAGCTGCTTTCTTACAGATATTTATTACGTTTGAAATATTCATTCAGTGAGATGTAGCAGAATTAAATTAGTCAAATGGAAACGTCCCAAAATGAGCCGTTAGAAACCCGAGTGTGCATTTTTCTACAAGATGGGGGGAAAAAGCCCCTTATCACATAAAGCAGCTAAATGTTCGTCACCATAATTCACACAGAACAACCTTAAAATTTTGTTTCAGAAACCTTAGAGCTATTTTTAGACATTTTGAAATGGAGTTTTGTGGAAGATTTATGAACAATTAATATGTTACCTGTTGTAGATATCTCTTTGAACAAACTCTGATTGTGAAAGAGTTTAAATGAGAAAACGGTGCATGCTCTTTGTCATGTTTGTCTACAAGGGTGAGAACAGAAAACAATGTCTCCAGAGATTTATCAGCTGTTTTCTTGAAAAATAGCTCAATTTGATAAAAAAAAAAAAAAAAACAATCTGAAAAGACAAATGATCACAGATTATCTTTTTGGGCCGTGTCCCGATTGCACAAACGACTCCTTAAACTGGAACACAATACAAGATTGATGATTTACAGACAAATTTACTTGTAACAAAAAAATACACACTTCCACCTCCACATCTGAGGTCATGGTCGAAAAAGTGTGAACTGTCTTCTCCGGTTTGGGGAGGAGTTAAAGTATCTCGGGGTTTTGTTGAAAAGTGAGGGAAGAATGGAGCAGGAGATCTACAGATAAATCAGTGTGGCTTCTGCAGTACTGTGGACTCTGTGCCGGTCCATTGTGGTGAAGAGGGAGCAGAGCTGCAAGGAGAAGCTCTCTGTTTACTGGTCGGTCTCATTCAACCTTTATTTCAACAGTTTAGTCTCAATGAGTCACGACTCATTTACAAGAGAGACCTGTTTTAAACAAAAGAACCACAAATGAGGTACAAACAACAATAAACAGCCATAAAATGAAACGATGTAAAATACTAAAAACAGGAACACGTCTTCGTTGATTTTTGCATTAAACTTAACAATTATTTAAAATCCCTTAAAGGTCAAAGTCGAGAGCTTCAGATCTTTTTGCAAGATGTTCCAGGAAATGGGAGCGGAGTAAGAAAAGACCTTTTGCCTAGTTCAGTCCGCACTGAGGGGACGCTGCAGGTAATGATGTCTTGAGCGCGCACGCTGTAGCTGCACTGACGACGTGACATGTAGAAGGAGATGCATGAAGGCAACAGACCAAGGAGTTGTTTAAAGATGAAAATGTACCAGTGGGAGAGTCTGCGTGAAGTTAATGATGACCAGTTAACCAGTGAATACAGGGTGCAGTGACGGGTACGGTAGTTACAGCCAGTTATGAATCTTAGCGCACCGTGATAGACAGCATCCAACATCTGCAAGGTGCTTGTAGGAGTGTTCATGTAAATAATGTCTCTGTAGTCAATGGAAGGAAGGAAAGTAGCAGTTACAAGTTGTTTCCTAGCATTCAGAGTTAAACAAGATCTATTTCTGAAAAGAAACCCAGTTTTACTCTCAATTTCTTTACCACGTTTTTGACATGAGGCTTAAGAGATGTGCATCGACCAAGATTCCAAAGTATTTATAAGATGCTCAACACCGCAAACTCAATAGGAACACCATTTGTAGATGAGATGGAGAGAAGGACTGCTGGTACCAACTTCCTATTTGAAAACAACATCCCTTTGGTTTTATCAGCATTTGGCACCAGTTTGAGACGGAACAAATCAGACTGGATGATGTTGAATGCAGACTGTAAAAGCTGGAAAACCTTAGCAACTGTTTTAGCTCGACAATAAACCAATGTATCATTGGCATAGAAGTGTAAGGATGCATCAGGGATGATCTGACCTACATTACTTAAGTAGATTGTAAAGAGGGTGGGTCCTAAGACTGAGCCTTGTGGTACACCATTCTGGTCTATGTTCCTACCCTCACCTGTGGTCAAGGAATCTGGGTAGTGACAAAGAATGAGGCTCAGGATCCAGACGGTCTAAATTTGTTTTCTCTGCAGAGTAGCTGGACTCTCCCATAGAGACAGGGTGAGAAGGTCAGTTATCCAGTTGAGGTAGTTCGGGCATCTGGTAAGGTTGACACCTGGACGCCTCCCTGTGGAAGTTTTTCAGGCATGTACAACTGAGAGGAGACCCCAGGGAAGACCCGGGACATGCTGGAGAGACTTATGTCTCTTGGCTGGCCTGGGAACACCTTGGAGTCCCAGGAGAGCTGGAAGAGGTGGCTGTGGAGAGAGATGCCTGACGTAAGAACGATAAAACTTCCTGTTTTTTCCAACAAGTCTTTATTTACAATGAGCTGAACCGGTCTCTGATCTGCACAGGGCGAGCTTTCTGACCAACCATGAAAAGCCACAACCTTTGCTGCCGGTTTAAAAACAATGTCTCAAAACTTTTATAGAGCTTCAAAAACAGCATCCACTTTGACCTCGGCTGCATTCGGACTAGCCATTAGCTCGTCAAACCAGTCAGACTTCTTCTCCAACATGGAGTCGTTCAAATTCATCCTTTCCTTTCTGCACCTCGCAACAAACGGAGTGTTGTGATTGAGATTCAGCGTCAAATAAACCGGTTTATTTTAGTCGTTCTGCCGCAGATGGATCTTTTGTTTCTGCAACTTGTTAGTCAGCTCCTAATGCATTCAGTGTGCAGAGGGTAAACAGGCTGTCAACGTGCACATCTGTTTCTGCACGAAGAGCACGTGTGAAGGGAAGAAGAAACAGGCCTGGCCCACGTCCCATGCCTTCTCTGGATAAATACAAATCCTGCAGCAGAGAACGCTGAACTCCACAAGAAGCAGAAAAGAAACGTTTGCGAGGAGCGAGTGAATCAGCTGTGGGCACGGCCAAGTTAAACAGACGGAAAAACCCATGCAAACAGAAAGAGTCCGTGCTTTTCCTGATCAGCCACAAAACAGTGATCAGACGTTCAAACAAGCATCACTGCGTTTCTGTTCTGTAGCCGTGCCTCAAACGTCGTCTCCTGCAGGGAGACTGAAGGAAATCTGTAACTTTTAAAAACATTAACGACGCGTTCCAACGCTGCTGAATGATTCGTCCATGAAGTTCAGTGAAATTATCCAGTTGTGGCAAAAGAAAAACGAAACTCACACTTCGTTTTGCTTTAAATATTGATTTATTTGATTTCAAAACCGTAAAGGGACTCATTGCAAAGTCACAGACAAAAACAATACTTGAAGAAACAAATTGTACATATTTCAATTTCTTTAAATTAAGAACCTGTTGCAAAATTAGTGATTAAAAAAAAACAAAGTGACTGAATTCGTCCATGTACTCCAGCAGTTTTGATGTATATGTACACATTTACACTCAGAAGTGTTGATATTGAGCGCGTACCCGCATTTCAGAAGTTTCAGTAAACTCTGTCAAGTTCAACCATTTGATATAATTCAAGATAACCTTTTTTGTTCCTCGTTGCTGCTTGAAGAGGAGGATTGGAAATGCCCTCTGTTGGTCTTCTGAGCTGGATAATTAAAAAAAAGCAACGTGCCGGCTTCTATTTTGGTGTGTGGCTGCATCATAGGCGTAAGAAAAGTCACTATAGAAAGTCCAAGATGGACATCAGTTTACACACACACACATATATACACATATATACAGGGATACCAACAATGGTCCTTAAACCAGGTACTGGTAACTTTGGCACTGTGTGCTGGTGCCAAGTCCTGTCGAAAAACAAAATCTGCATCTCCATAAAGTTGGTCAGCAGTAGGAAGCATGAAGTGCTCTAAAACTTCCTGGTAGACGGCTGCGTTGATCTTGGACCTCAGAAAACAGTGGACCAACACCAGCAGATGACATGGCACCCCAAACTATCACTGACTGTGGAAACTTGACACTGGACCTCAAGCAACGTGGATTCTGTGCCGCTCCTCTCTTCCTTCAGTCTCTGGGACTTTGATTTCCAAAGGAAGTGCAAAATTTACTTTCATCAGAGAACATAACTTTAGACCACTCAACAGCAGTCCCAGGCGAGACACTTCTGACGCTGCCTCTTGTTCAAGAGTGGCTTGACCCAAAGAATGAGACAGCTGAACCCCTTGTCTTGCATACGTCTGAGCGTGGTGGTTCTTGAAGCACTGACTCCAGCTGCAGTCCACTCTTTGTGAATCTACCCCACGTTTTGGAATGGGTTTTGTTTCACCTCCTCTCCAGGATGTGGTTATCCCTATTGCTTCTACACTTTTTTCTACCA